ATTTTATTTTGAAACCGTTTCAAAATTCAATTATTTCTAAAAATTCACGCTCTAATGCTTTTAATATTTAATTATAATCTAAAATTTTAACTGAAATACATTTTTAAATCAATTTTTATTAGAAAATTCAACTAGAATTCAATTATTTAAATACAAAAAAAAAACAATTTATTAAATAATTGCATTAAAATTGAATTTTAATAAAGAATTTTATCAATAAATTTTTAAATAATTGAATTCTTTTAACGAATTTTAATAAAATTTTTAAGAATAATTACAGTTTTCGAGGAATTTGATTAAAATTGTATTAAAAATAATTGAACTTCTGCTATGGGTTTCATTATTTATGAAAATAATTGAATTCCTAAAAAGAATTTTATTATTTACGAAAATAATTGAATGATTACGAAGAAATTTTAAAAAAATTTGTAAATAATTGAATGCTTGTGAAATTTTGTATTATTTTATAAAAATATTTAAAGGTTTGCCTAGAATTTTATTAAATTTTTTTTATATATAATTGAATTATTTTGGAAAATTTTATTAAAATAGTAGGTATTAAAAATCATTGAATTGAGGAAAATTTTTGAAAATAATTGAAATTTTTCAAGAATTTTATTTAAATTTTTGAAAATAATTGAATTTCGGAGAAGAATTTTACTTTTTGTGAAGATAATTGAAATTTTGACAAGTATTTTTTTTTATTTTTTCAACATAATTGAATTTCTGCGAAGAATTTAATTACTTTTGAAAATAATTGAATTTCTGCAATCATTTGTAATTTCTCTAAAATTCTCCAAATTATATCGTACAATTTACGAACTTTTCGTCTTTTCTCAGTCAAATTACGAACTTTACGAACCTTTTTTTTTTATAAAAAACTGACTTTTACGGACTTTAAGCAAATTTACGGACCTTCACGGGAATTTACGAACCCAGTTCGAGCTCTGCAATTTCAAAATTAACTTCTTTATATTCATAAACGAAAAACTAAATTCTTTTTTTATCCTACATTTTTAATCGATTTTTGCCTTTTTGCAATTTTTTTTGTAATCGAAATATTTTTGCCACACATAAGTATTTCTTTATAAAACAGAGATAAACTTTCTTCCAACTCGCAATTGAAAAATTTATGACAAATTTTTGACAGAAAAATTTTTTCTATATTAAACATGGGAATATAGAGAAAATAAAGGAAAATATACTCGCGAGAAATTGTGTTTTACGTATTTTGACAGCTTTAAGGAAAAATATGCTGATTTCTTTAGACAAGAATGTGTCCCCAGAATAAAAGAACAGATGAAAGTTCGTATAACTTTGGGGAGTGACACATTTTACCATTATTTCGTAAGAACGTATATATATATATACGGTTAGGAAATATATATAGATTCTCATGCATTAAACATTGTCGCATTATGCAAACACACACATGCTATTTTTTTTTATTTTTTCTCCAGGAAAATTATTAATACTCAAAAAATTGATGAGACATCTTATTAATATGGAAAAACAAACGTGCAAGCAATTTTTTAATGCGGAAATTTTTTTTTATTATTTTAACAAACAAGAATTGAAATGAAAATATTTAATAATATTCTCTCTTCGTTTTCTCGAGCTAAAGATGAAAATTTAAATTTACTATTTCTTTTAATTTTTCAATGTTCAAAGGAACGAAATATTTTTATCTGTTCAGTTTTTAAAAATCACTGTAGAAATAAAAATAATTTTTAAAAGGAAAATGTGTTTAATATTCTAAAGAATAAATAATAAAGTGTATAAAAAAACCAGTAAATAATAAGATATAAATAATAAAAACAAAACTTTAGTGAAAAAATAGTAAAAGAAAGAAATTAAAGCAGACAGTTAATAATAAAACAAAAAACTGAAGTAATAAAATATTTTGTAAATACTTTGTAAACTCGTTTATAATTTAAAATAAAATAAATAATAAAATAAAGAATAAAACAAAAAGTTGAAAGTTATAATATAATAAAATAATAAAACAAAAAAGTGATAGAAACAAAAGGTTAATATTTATTTTATACCTATATTAATTATTATTGATAAGACTAGAATTTATTACTTTTTTCCATTAATTAAAAACTGAATAAATAAAAATAGTATAGAAAAGAAAATATTTCAATTATTCAATTTTCGAAAAACCACAACTTGTATATATGATAATAAAAACAATTATTAAATCTCACGCAGAATTTAATTTAACTGAGAGAAATTTCAAATATGTTTATAGAGTCTCTCTCTCACAACGAGAAGTTTGACTCAAATATGAAAATGTACTATGCTGGAGATTTCAACCCTTAATACCCACTTAAGCCACTTTTCCATAAACTAAATACAACCGTCAAAATAAATAAACATTGTATTTTGAAATTCTCATATAAACTTGGAAAATATATTCTCAAGTTTATTTCAAAACATATATTCCTCAAAATTTTGCTTTAAATAATAAAAGTAGAATATTATTTTACTTTTACATTCTTTTTTCAATTAATTAACACGAAATCTTTCAAAATTCCATTATACTCTGAAATTTTTCACTTAAATTTATCTCTAAATAAATTTTTTTCAAGAATTTAATAATTTTTTTTAAAAATATGAAAATTTCATTAAAAATTCTTCTAAGAATTTAATTCTTCTAAATTAAGTACAATTCTTCCAAATTTCAATTATTTTTTGGAACTCTTCTCTAGATCAATAATTTTTATAAAAATAAATTAAAATTTATCAAAATTTATTTGAAAATATATTGCAAAAAATTTTGCCTCTAAAAATTTGTGCCAAAGTTTTCAAACAATTGGAACTTTTTAAAAGTTTAGTGAAAATACTTAATTAATTTTTTTTAAATAATTGAATTCTGAAATAAATTTCTCAAAATTACTGAAAATAATTAGATTAGAGAATAGAATTTAAGTTAAAAATTCTAGAAAATACTGGAATTTCGAAGAATTACAGTCAATGTTTCCAAAAGACAATTATTTTTCGAAATTTGTAGTAAAAAATTGTTTTTACTAAGATTTTTTTACTAAAATTCTTATTTCAAAATCAATTATTTGATTTACATAAGAGAAGACTGTTTGTAAAAAATTCTTTACTAGGATTTTTAATTAGAATATTTCAGAAAACAATTCAATGTTAGACAAATTTTAATTGAACTTTCCTTTTTTTTAAATAAATAATTAATCTCTCAGAAAATTTACTCAAAATTTAAAATTAATTTAAAAATTCAAATTAAAAATTAACCAATGGATTTAGAGAAGGATTTTAGTTAAAAATTTTAGAAAATAATTTAATTTCAGAAGATTCACAAATATAGTTTTCAGAAATAATTAAATTTCAGAAGATTTGAAATTGCGATTTTTAAAAAAATTCATTTTTGTGGAAAAATAAATAACAATAAGTATATTTAAAATAATTTAACAAAATTACTGCTGAAACGTAGAATAATTTAATTTATAGAAACTATTAAAACAAATTATGTCTCCGAACAATTTAAAGTAAATTTTCTTCAAGATAATTGAAAAAAATTAAAATTTGTCAAGCAATTGAAAATTTTCTTAAATTTTATTGAAATAAATTTTTGATTCAATAAAAATGTATTAAAATTTTTAAAAATAGTCCGGTCTCTCGTCTTTAAAATAAGAATATTAAAAAATTGGGAAAAATTATTTGAAAATTAAATTGAATTATAAATTTAAAACTAAGTATTGTATTTCAAATTAAATATAATTAAATTTAATTTGTAAAAATCGAAAAATGACTAATTTTAGATGTGTGAATATGAATGAATACGTCGATTATTAAAAGTAATTGTTATTAATATTGTTATAGGTGGTCAGTTTTTCTAAAAAATATTTTCTAATCCTTTTTGTCTAAAAAAAAGCGATTTCTAATGAAATCTGTTTTCTAAAAAAAAGTTTTTCTAAAAATTTATGATTTCTAATATTTAATTTCCTGAAATTTGTTAAATCTATAATTTTCATAAAAGTTTGAAAATTTTGTTAAAAAATTAAAATTTAAAAATAGAAATTATTTTGCATATTTTCTGGTTCTCAATCCCATTTTAGTTCATAAAATATTATGAGTTTGTTTGTAATTTTGTTAATTACGTTTTTTAACGAGATTATTTTTAAATTATTTAAAAAAATTTGCACAATTTTTACTATATTAAATCTTCTTCATTAGAAAAAAGTTTTTTAGAAATTTACCTTTATTAGAAAAAAAAAAGTTTTAGAAAATTAAAAATTAGAAAATACGTTTTAGTAAAACTGTATACCACAACTGTGTACCACTGTTGTGGTACAGTTTTTCTAATGTATTTTCTAAAACGTATTTTCTAAAACTTTTCTTTCTAATAAAGGTGAATTTTTAAAAAACACTTTTCTAATGAACTCGATTTTCTAAATTTCTTTTTTCTAAAAAATAATGTCTTTTTTGATAATTATATTTGAAATTATCTGAATAAATTAATAATAATAATAAAAATAATAATAGTGGCAAAAATTAGTTTTCACTTTTACTTTCAAAAGAAACAAAAATTGTGTAATCAGTGACTTGAAAACGAAGAGAGTGAGAAAGCGAGGAAGAGAAACCACTTTATTTCCGTCATTATTTGATTATTAAAAGGAAAATAATCCTCTATAGACGTGTTTGTGATTTCAATTCACATACAGGATTATTATTTTTTATCCCCCACGTACATTTTCCGTCTCTCAAAATTGAAGTCGCGTTTACACTTGAATGCACTTGAATGACAAAAGGTAAGCGACACAGACACACATACATTCAAACAAATATACATACAGACCACAAATTTATATTTATATATAGACCATATGATCAAATATACATATAAACACAATTCAAATGAAACGTGCAGATACAACATGAAAAAGCAATATATATATATATATACACTCGAGTAACATCAGACATCAATTTATGTGTTGAAGGGTGGGTGGGGAAATATTATTCGTCACCTTTTCGAGACTCGACGTCAATGGTGATACATTCAGCCGGTTTTGTATTGAATTCCATGAAAATTGTCGTGAATGCTGGATCGATGACGAAGGGGACCAAGAAGAGGAAGGCGAACAGGCTGAAGGTGCCGAGGAGAATGAAGAACGCGGTTGTGTAAAATAGTAATTTTTCTAAGAATGTCTGTTCCTCCTTTTCGTCCGCCATCACGATATGTTTTGGCAGTGCTGGCCTGGATAATGATCTTGAAAAAGATCACGCCCCGTCGATCGAGACGTCCCACGCCGAGGAGGTCGCCGATCTGTGAATTTTACATTTATTTTTTTTTTTAACAAAAAACCCCCCGAAGAAACAAAAAATTAATTTTCAAACGAAAAAAATACCCTTTCTTCTGTTTAAATATAATTTCAGAAAAATTTATAAAAAAAAAAACCTGTAAATTTACCCTATAGAAAAATGAGTAGATAATTCAATTCACAATTATGAAAAATGACAAATTGTAACTAATTAACTATAATTTTTAACTACCTACTACTAATTTCAACTAATTATTACTAATTACTGTACTAATTTCAACTAATTACTACTAATTACTATACTAGTTTTAACTAATAATTACTACAAATTTCAACAATTAATTAATACCAATTTTAATTATAATATTCACTCTTCAAATTTGAATTACTTAAAAATAACTAACTTGAAAGCAAAAAGTTAGTCACTGATGCAAATAGCAATATTTTACTAATAAAATAGTTAATAGTGACTAAATATTAGTAAAATTTATTTTTAAGTTATGTCAAAAACAAGTTTTTGATAATTAATCCAATTAGTGAAATTTTACATAATTTTTTTTTTGGTTATTTATTTAATGAATTTAAATAATATTAATTTAGTATCAATATTAAAAGCTTTCTTATTGTGCTATTGAAATCAATAGAAAAAACCAAAAAATCGTCTTTCGAAATATATTTTTTCAAAAAAAAAAATAAATTCTTTCCTTTATTTTCTTTTCATGCATTACGGGAAAGTTGCCAGAATAATTCCTCGTCCTTAAAATATAAATTTTCGTGAAGAGACGAAACATTCACGACATTCCACCAGGATTTTATTGTATCTTAAGATAATTCCATTTTTCAAGATGTACTTATTTCGAGTGTTTAAGTTGTTCAGAGCGTTCTGTATTATATGAGGACTTGAGGGAAAACTTTTTATATTTTCATTCACTTTTGTCTCTAGATACTTGGAAAAATTGAAAAATTCCCATTAATAATATGTTTGAAATAATTTTTGTTCTTTTCTTTCGATAAAATTTATTCCCCCGTAGAATAAAAATAAATAGAAAAAATTAAAATGTTGATAATAAATGTTTTTTAAAAAAATGTTTTTTCGTTTAAATTTCTAATTAATTTTTTTAGTTTAATTAACTTTTTTTATATATAAATTTTTTTAATATATAAAATTAAGTTAGATGGATATAATTATATAGCTGGCTCTCAAAGTGCAATCAGGCAATAACCACTGCTAACCACATGTGGCTGGCCAAAATTACTCTTACTACTGCGCTGGCTAAGTGTAACTCTATATTACGTTACACCACTCTACTCTGAGATAAATGGAAAATTTTGAAAAAATTTCCTTCTAAAGAAATAACTTGAAAATCCTCGATGAAAGTGAGAAAGAACTTAATTTCTCCAATTAGATTTATTTTTATTAGGGAAGAAAAATAACTAAAGTCTGACTAAAATTAATCTCTACCACTTAAGGCACAAATTTCGAAAAATAACAATAAAATTTATTCTAGAAAATTTATAAATTAGAAACAAAGAATTAATTAGAAAAATTAATTCTGCTTAAAATTAGTTCTATGTAAAATATAGTGTATTAATTTAACGTCTGACTAGAATCGATCGTTACTACTTAAAACCCCTTTTTTGCATTATTACACCACTTAATTAAATATTAGTCTACGATAATAAAATCAGTGATAAATTAACGGCGATTTATCTATTACTATATACGTCTGACTAAAATCGACCATAACTACTGAAACTCCTTTTTTATATTAACTGAATCGCATATTAGTCTATATCATTTAACTATTAATTCATAGTAATAACAATCAAGTGATAAATGTCTGACTAAAATCGATTTAACTACTTAAAATTTTAGTAAATTTTGTTTCAAATTTTTCTCTATGTTCTTGAATATTAAGTAGAGAATACAATTTTTGTTGTAAATTAGTTCAAGTGGTAATAATTCGGAAATTAATTTTTAAGTAGTAATGATCGATTTTAGTCGGACATTGGTAGAATTTTAGTAAATAATCTTCTTGTAAGTAATTCTCTCAATATTTGTCGGTTTAGATTTATATTGAAAAAGTGGAATATTTATAATAAAAAAAAGTCAGTAGTTATGGTCAATTATAATTTGACGTAAAATTTCTAATTTTTCGTAATTTTATTTTAAAAAAATAGTTCTTCTTTTTCGTAATTGTTAATTAGTTTCAACAATTTTTGTCGTAAATAACGTCTAGTTGTAATAATTCAAAAATTAGTGTTACGAGTAGAAAAGATCGATTTTAGTCAGACGTGAAAAGAATTGTAGTTAATAATCCCTTGTAGTCAATTTATTATTCGATTTTCATTCCTTTGGACTTGTATATTAAGTTAATTAGCCTAATAATACAAAACTAAGTAGTTCAGTAGTTACTCTCGATTATAGTCAGACGGACTTTTCTCTCTGGTAATAGAAATTTTTTTCTCTAACAAAGTCGAATTATTTTCTCGAAAATCAATGAATATCTAAATTGGCAAAATTTTTTATTCCACAAAATCCAAAAAGTAGAAGTTGTAAGTAGAAAACAGTCGACTTTAGTCAGACGTGTTAGGAAATCTTTTTGCAAAATAAAAGTCTGGTTTAGTTAATTTCAGTAAATTGAAGAAATAGAATATAGAAATACAACGTAAATCGAAAGTAAGTGAGAAGAAAGGATAAATTTACTCTACGAGCAACTTAATGTCAAAGTTTGTAATTGTCTGACTAAAATCGATCACTACCACACTTTGTGCAAAAGTTTCGAAAAATGACAAAATTGTTTTTAGAAAATTTATAAATTAGAAAAAAAAATTAATTGGAAAATAAATGTTCGATATAAAAGAAAGTGAATTAATTTTACGTCTGACTAAAATCGATCCTTACTACTTAAACCCCTGTTTTGCATTATTAAACCACTTGATTAAATGTTAGTCTATAGTAATAGAGATTAAGTGATAAATTAACTACGATTTATCATTTATAATAAATACGTCTGACTAAGATCTACCATAACTACTTAATTTTCATTTTTGAATTATTAAACCACTTAATTGAATATTAGTAAATTATAATTAAAAATTAATTCGCAGTGATAATAATAAAGTGATAATTTTACAGCGAAAGAGTATTTATGGAGAGTTTTCATAAACAAGTCTGACTAAAATCGACTGTAACTACTTAAAATACTTTTTTCCTTTATTAAACTAATTAAATTATTAACCCATGGTAATGAAAATAAACTCCAAGAAATTTACTACCTAAGTTTATTCAATAAATAGATTTCATAAGCACGTCTGACTAAAATCGACTGTAACTACTTAAATTATTTTTTAGCCTTATTGTTAAACCAACTGAGTCAATATTAAGTTCTATTAGTACAAAACAAATAATAATTTTAGAAATTAGATTACTTGTTAAAATTCAAGAATTGTCTGACTATAACCGACCATTATCACTTAATTATCTAATTTTTCGAATGACGAAACAAAAACTATACCAATTGACGAAATAAAAAAAGGTCTAACTACTTTACAAGGAGAAAAATTCTATTTCAGGAATATTGTATATCATTTTTACGTCTGACTAAACTCGACCTTAGCTACTTATTTGATTTTTGTATTATGTAACTAACGAAGCAAAAACTGAAGTAAATAAAATAATTATACAAAAATAAATAGCAATAACGGTACAAAACTAAACAACAATAAAAGTATAAAAATAAAAAAAACAATAAAAAAACATTAATTAATAACAATAAAAATACATAAATAGATAACAATTTGAGTACAAAAATAAATAACAATATGAAAACAAAACTAAAGAAAAAAAAGAATATAAAACAAAAAAACAATAAAAATTCATAAGTAAATGACATTAAAAATAAAATAATTAACCACTACAAAAGAAATAATAATATTGAAATAAATCCCCTTCGACGAAAAATTCAAATGTCTGACTATAACCGACAATCACTACTTAAATACTAATTTTCTGTATTCTTATACAATTAGATAATTGTGAGTATTTATTAAAATTAATTACAATAGCAAAGAAAAAAAAATTCACCCCGTCTGACTATAATTGACCATAACTACTTAAAACCATAAATTTCGAAATGAAATTAATTTCTAACTTCTATAATAAACGAAAACGAGAAATAAAACAATAAAAATTCTCCATTGCCAAAAAGCTCGCAAATGTCTGACCGAAAATCGACTGTTTCTACTTAAAACTCGTTTACTATTCTTCGTACAACCATTAAAAATAAATGAACTGTAACAAACGAATAAAACCATTTTATTAAAATCGATTACTTTTTAAAGAGAATTTCTTAAACCTTTTTTCAACATCCTTTTTTAAACATTTTCTTTTAATCACGTCTGACTAAAATCGTTCACAACTACTTAAATTCTTCTCTATCTTTTCTCTGCTACCATCTCATGACTAATCAATCACAAATTTACAATACAGCAAAATCAATAAAAATAATTAAGACAAATTGTCACGTTTAGGAAAGTTTCGAATGTCTGACTATAATTAATTCGTACTACTTATTGTAATCTCTAAATCTATTCAATATCATCAAGAAATTAAAAAAAGAGACAGTGAAACTTTCTTGGTGCAAATAATAATTATTTTATATCAATTTTCGTAATTAGAAGTACATGATTAATATAAAAAAAATAAATAAATATCAAGAAGTTTATTAAATTATTGAAAACGAAGTTTAAGTATAATGATTCCGTTTCTTTTCAGAATTGTTACCATTTTTGGTTAATTTCACAATATTATTGCGATAAAATTTTTAATTAGAAGAACAAATAAATCAATCTCGTTCACTTGAACGTTCAGAATTTTAGGGGCATAAAAATTTAATTAAATTAACTAAAAATCATAAACAAAATCAAATGTACAATATTTTCTTAACCCCCTTTGCGACTAAAAATATAGAAAAGAGAAAGAAAAAAAAATACGTATAATTTT